CCCAGCCAGGAATTGATGAAATTAGGGCAAATTACCTGGCTATTGACTACTAGGCTGGGGCAGCTTCTAAAAAGACATTGTAAGAACGTTCACTCCAGTTAGACTAATTTTCACATGTAAATTCATTATCAGCAGAAGTCTGAGAGTTTAGAACTTCGGAGCCTAATCAATAGCTATTTACACTTACATGGAAGAACTCTTAATGTTCATGGAGAAGAGGAAATGGAAATTAAAAGGCTTGAAAGCAAAGCTTCCAAGACTAGATTTTTAAAATACCTTTTTTACAACCCAGAATGAAATGTCATCCCTAACACTCGAGCTGCAAACTTCTGTACCACTGAGGTTGCTCTTACCTTAAGTTCAGAGTTTGATCTTCATGCATCTTTTGTTTGTTTGGTGTGGGGTTTTTTTAAAATGTTTTTGCATCTTCCAGGAGCAGCATTCCTGGCTATTACAACAATTTATGCAGAGAGTGGTTCAGGATTTGTGTTGCCGAGTGCCGCTGCCAAAGCTGGTGTAGAAGCAATGAGCAAGTGAGTAATACAGCAAAATGTCTGTTCTGCTTTTCACATCCTTCAGATAGAGTAATTGGTCTATAAAAATGAAGTTATTCCATTGTATCATAAGAGAACCCTCCAGCCTCCAGTATCCTAGCAAGAAAATAGTATACTGACAGCTTCTCACAGAAGGAAGTACTAACTGCTGTTATTATGATGATTTATATCACAAGGACAAGATAAGGACAAGTGGAACTACTTCTTCTGGGAATAGCAAGTTCTAAAGTTTCAATTACAGATTTTCGATAATCAGATTCTCTTGCATTCTCATAGATGAACCAGCACTTAAAACAGTTATTAGGGGAACTGTTCAAGGTCTATAGTGCCTTCCACTTTCTTTTGTCTCAGGAAAAGATATGCTTGTATTTGGGTGGAGTATACTGTTGCTTCACCTATCTAGTTTCATGAAGAAATGTCTTTCCTGTCAGTATTTTAAATTAAGGTCTGCAGTTATACTTAATTCAGAACTGTATCGTGTGACCTACCCATGTCACTCAGCAAACTAAAGGATTTCTATCATTAACTGTAAGACAGTCCTTTAGATCAAATAGGTCCTCCTCCGCACTTCAGCAGAAGGAATTGTATAGTTTGGCAGCCTTTTAGTAACTAGAATTCTTTTTCCAGAAAAAAATGAGGGATTGAATGATGGTCTTGATTTCTGTTCTGTAGAGCTGTAAGTCAAGTGTGTACTCTTCAGAGACTTTATGACCCAGCTAATTCATTCACCATAGTAAGCAATATATCTGAAGTACTGCTTATGCAGAGAAAATGTTGCCATAAACCAAAATTGTTCTACTGGTCCCGTTTTAGAATGTTACCACTGTTTTGTGTTATTTCAAAACATCTAGCATGAGAGTTATGTTAAAAACATTAGAAATGTATACTTCTGGCATAGTCTAAATTACCAGAGGAAGATGGTGGTCTGACAGTTGTTTGTCAAGGAGTTCAGGTGCCAAAATCATCTGTATGATTTGTGATGGAGAAAGAGTTGCTCCTTAATGTTGCTTTATCTATGATGCATTTATTAAATCAATATTCCTCCATTTGTGAATGTGATTGTTTTTTCTTCTCTGAAATGTTTTTTTTAAGAAAAAAAAAACAACCCTTAAGTGGAAATGCCTGTTTCAGGAAAAGTCTAGTATTTACACATTTGATTCAGTTTTAAATAATTTCTTTTGCTGAATAGCATTATTAAACTATTATGTTTAAAATATTGATGCATTCTGTTAATGAATTTTTAGGTCTCTTGCGGCTGAATGGGGTAAATATGGCATGAGGTTCAATGTGATTCAACCAGGTCCAATAAAAACAAAGGTACATAGCATGAAGTGAAACACAGCCTTGAATATGCTTTATAGTACAGACTTAAAAACTTTCAAATAGTCTAACCTTCGCTGTAAGTGTTAAATTCAAGTATGATTTCCTTGGTAGTCAAGACTGTGCTGGAATATTGAACACACTACCTCTCAATTCTTTTATGAAACAGCATTTCTTGAACTCCTGAAACCTACCACTGCCCTTTCTACTATACTAAATATCAATGAAACCTTTTTAAAAAATATTTATAAAATATTTAATGTTGATTCTTATCAACTGTATGCACCTAGTTTGTCAAGTGAATTGAATTCTTATACTTGGTGGAGTAAAAGTGCCTATTTCTGCCTAAACTCCTAATTTTTAAGCAAAAAGTCTCATGAATTCCAAAATTTCAGTATCTCTTTTAGGTATATGAGAACAGAATCTCACTAGTTTTGTTGAAAATCACAAAACTAGAAGGAGAAAAACTAAGTCGGCAAGGAAATGTGAAGCTTTGATATGAGTGAAAAGGAGGACTGGAGGGTTTGAAGGAAGTAATCCAGACCAGCTGGAACAGGAAGAAAAAAGAAAGTCCAGGGAGAGGAGGATCTGTTTCATATTGAATCAAAATATTAAAATTATAAGCAGTAACAGCTAATAATGGTATTACTACTACCTGTAAAATGTTTCACAGTTGGTTCAGGCTGTTGTTTTGGGGATAGGGTGCAGAGTTGCTTCTTTTTTGCTTTTTTTGCCTTTTTTTTTTTTTTTTTCCTTTTTTCCTCTTGTCAGTATTAGATGCTACACTGGACAACTCAGTTTTACCTTTTTTGACTGTAAAGAAAGATGTGGCAGTATCAGCAGGGTGATAAGAATGTTGAAACAACATTAGAGTCAGACCAAAAGTCCTCAAGGCCTTGTATCTGGTGGATTTTTAGGCAAGTGTAGAAGAAAAACTTTTAATGACATTTCTTCTTTGTCTCCAGCCTCTGGCAGTCTGTGGCCCAGGAAGTTTGATACAATTGGTATCTCTTCATATTGTAATCATCTTGATGGATTTTTTCTTCCATTAGTTTGTCCTATTCCTTTTTGAATCCATATAAACTCTTGGCATCTGCTATGTCGCACAGCAAGATCACTTTGATTTATAGATTCTCATAATTTTTGGCGACTTAACTGCTTTATATGTCAATATTGCCGCCTCCTGTTAATGGTTCTGATTTAAACTAATAGTGTATATCCCACTTGAGGTACTGCGTGTTCTTAATAAAGTACTACGTTTGTCATACTGATTCCAAGCTAAAATTTCCCTGACAGCATAAAAAGGTAGACTGGCTTTACTTAAAACAGCATATTGCAAAATTGAGGCTTTCTGCCTTAGGGACTACATCCGTGTCTTTGAAAAACACTGTTGTAAGTCATGAGAGGAAAAGAAAAAAGCGTTCAAGCGCAATACCATTAAGCTTATAAACTGGAATTTAAAAACATGGCAATAGAAGACTTAAATGGTGTGAGTACAGCCATGATTACATAAATTATAGTGTGCTTTAACTCTCATAACTTCAGTAACTGTTAAGTAAACTGTAAATGCTACTAATACACTTGTGATTTTGCCTGGGAAGGTTGTTTCTTGTTAAGGAGCCAGGAAGAACGAAAAACCTAAAATTCATCTATTTTCCATGCCATTCTAAGCTGTTTAAATGCTAAAACTTCCAGAGACTTAGTTTAGTTCTAGTCATTGCTGCAATTTAACTGAACTTGATTTTTTTGTTTTCTTTTCAGTTTACTTACTCTGTCATGTGTAATTTATTTGTCACTTCTCTGCTCCTCTTCTCCCCTTGTTCCTCTCCACTGTCCATGCAGCAATTGTGAGTCCTTTATTCCCTCAAATGTTTGTCAAAGGTGTTTGGGAAACAAAGATTATTAACCCCTTTTGTTTTTCATAGATAGATGTTGGGTGACTATCCCAAAGGTATCCCAGCTTATCATCCTTAGGAGATGCATATCAGTGCAACAGGGATAAATTGTTTTCTGTTTCCTGATTTCTTCTTTTTCATCCTACTGACAAAGAGGATGTAGACAGTTTACTCACAAATGTTAACTTCCGTATTGTTTATGCAGAGTCAAATCTCTATTGGATTCTAATTTCTGATGTAGTTATAACTTTTTTTTTTTTAATGTTTCTCTTAATTCTCAGGGCGCTTTTAGTCGCCTTGATCCAACAGGCTCATTTGAGAAGAAAATTATTGAGAGGATTCCCTGTGGTCGTCTGGGAACTGTAGAAGAAATTGCAAATCTTGCTGCCTATTTCTGCAGTGACTATGCAAGCTGGGTTAATGGAGCAGTGAGTTTTGGTTGATCTTTTTTATACAATTAACCTGATCATGATCTGAGTTTTGCTGATATTTTTTTAAAGTCCTGGTTCCAGAAATGAAACAAAAGCTGTTACTTTGAAATTCTTTACAAGCATTGTTAACCTTTTAATTGTAATGCATGGTAGTTAGTACCTTTAAAAAGAACTTTTAAAAGTGATTGAATTACATTATTTTGAGCATGGGTTTTTCTGCTCCAAATCAATAAAAATTATTTTCATAGTCCGTAACCAGGGAATGCTACAGAAACCCACTATTATTAAATAACACTGCTTATGTTTTTTCTAGGTTATTAGAATGGATGGTGGAGAATATGTTTCTATGGCAGGAGAATTCAATGATTTGAAGAAGGTATTAAATTCCTTGCTTGCTATTTTACATTCAAACAAATACTTAGATGTGTAATTATTATATGGAATTCCAATAAAATGCTCTTTTTCTTTTATTAGGTTACCAAAGAGCAATGGGATATGATGGAAGCAATGATTAGAAAAACAAAAGGCTCTTAAAGTACGTATGGTGGAGATTTTTGGAAGCGAACCACCACTATTTCATGAATATTTAGAAATAACCAATTGAGAAATAGCCTCCAAAATATTTTGTATACTAATTTCAATAAAATATTTTTAAATTGTCATATTTTATTTTTCTCATCTACAGTCTAATCTGTTGCCAATAGTGAACAACAGCTGTTCACTGAAATTTTATTATTCTCTAGATTATGTCGTAGATAGCCATGCCATGGTCTACAATTAGCTTTTTCTTTAACATTTCAGAAGATTTTTTTTTTCTTTCTCATATATATGCAAGTATCTTTTAATATTGCAATTCCAGTAGCATTTCAGAATTATCATAAATGAATACAATTGTTAATCTGAGGAAAAACTAAGAAATTAAGTCCTAATTTTCACACTTCAGTAGTAAGTCCTAAACTGGCAAATAACAAAACTTTCAAGTTATCAGTAGTACTGCATACACTGAGATAGGATGTAACTCCTGTGGTTTCTTACAAAATCTTGAAATAAATAACCATCTTGGTCTCATCTTTTGCTGACATTTTCAATCTGTTAATTATGTTATGCTGAACTTTAAAAATGGCATTTAAGGACTAGCAATGCCTTTTTAAGGAGCTTGCTCTTTGTCATGATTAAGTTAATGTTCTTGAAAATGAGGAAGTAAAAATCATTTGCCATTAGCGTCTGTGTGACTAGGGGAGTCTCTCCATAAAAAATGGTTTACTTGAGACTAATAAATGACATCAGTATATTGGGATGGAAAGCATTAAAACTTCATTGGTTGAGATTTACAGAAATCCCTAGCTTTCGTTTGCATTCACAGACTGGTCCTAAAGAAGCTTTAAGATGGCATTACCTCTGAATCTAGTCAGTTTATTCATCCCAAGTAAGCAGGTGATTGAAAAAACAAACCAACCAACCAACCACTGTTTATTGCTGTCCCTCTTTTAGTATTACTACATTTTCCAGATTAGGGAGTTGCCCATTGTTTGTGTGTCATCCCGTCCCCCCCGTGTCCCCCCCCCCAACAATGGATGGAATTCTTCAAAGAAATTAACAGGCCTTTACAGCTTGACATACATGCCTTTTTGTTTTTCGGTTGTTTATCCTGAGCTCCAGACCATCCACACGTACAGCATGGATATGCAATGTCTTCCTTCAGGTGCTGGCAGTGGTCTTGTTCTTTTACCCACACTTCAGGTCATACTTGCATATGCCAGCATCTGACTTTGAAATAATTTGATTGCATTAATAAAAAGCTGAAGCAAGCTAATACATGTTCTGCTGAAAGCATGAAATAATTAGTGCAGGCTTCCAGGTGCCAGCTTTCTCCTGGGAGTGATTGTCCTCTGGGGGATTGAAAGCATCTGTGCCATTGGTAAGAAAGCAAATGTGTTTATCATACTAGCCTTCCAGGTGTGTCTCAAATATAATGTAAAGCTTTTTTATAGCGTCTTGGGTTTTGGTACGTCTACTGTCAAGATCAAATTCTGACATGATACCCATGTCTTTTCCCCAAAAAGTGATTTAATTCAGAAGTTAGGCCCATATATACTGTTCTTTCCTCATTGTCCTTTGCATGTACTTTTATTTTCACTTCATATGGGACACAGTTCCATGTAAGGCTTTGACACTTGGAAAAAAAGTGTTTCAGAAAAAAATTCAAAGGTATATTTGTGAGCTGTGGTATGATCAAGTATTTCTCTGTGGTATTTAGTAGGGTATCCTCTGGAGATGGGCTGTCAATGAAGATAAGTTCCTACTGGTCTCCTGCATCTGTGCTTGTGCACGACTTTTACTGTAGGAAAGTTTGTCATGTGGTTGAAGTACTGGACTGAGATTGAAGATAACTGTTTAGTCTCCAACATTGTCGCAGGCTTTGTGTGACCTTAAGTTATTTGTGTTGCATCTGAACAGCAGGGCAGGTACGCTTTGCAGCATTCCCTGAGGAGCTGTTCATCTGAAGCAGGGAGAGTGGCACATACCTTTTGGCTCAGAAAACATAGGTCCTGGCTGGGGCACAGGTCAAAAAGATCAAGAAAAGAAATATATTCTGTCTCAACATTAAGTTAGGATCAAGCTACACTTGGCTTTGGGGGCTAGGAAGCACGCTGGCTGTCACGTATTCTTAATCCATCTCTCTTCCCTGCATGTAAAATAGTAGTAATGATACGTCTTTTTTTTTTTTAATCTTGCATACTTTTTTTTTTTTATAATCCTACATACTATTTAATGTATTTTTTAGATATTGAAAGCAGAGGGATTTTTTTGGTGAGGGTAGGGTGAGATGGAAATGGAAAGGCAGAGGAGCAGAGGAGGATAAGGCTAGCCCAGCTACAGTTATTTTTTTTTCCAAATATTTCAGTGCTAGGTATGGTGGTGCTTAGATGCAATGCCTACTGACACAGTAAATACCAGAAATCCATTTTGTGGCTTTGAACACACAGACCCAACTATTCTTTGGCTCAGCCACCACTGTAATATTGCTTTGCCTGCATATGTCATTTGTTTAGAAAGTAAGCTTTTCAGAGCTCAGTTCAGAAATGTTTCTCTGCAAAAGGCAGTGGGTTCCTATGTAACAGTGCTTACAGAATTTCAGGTGCTTTCGCAGTTGAAAATGAATACAGGCCATCTTTGCATCTAGGAGAAACTCGCTTTAATTCATAGTGAACCTTTCGGGGACTGAAGCTCTTTTCTGAACCATCAGAGTTACTGGAACATGTCTTCTAAGTGTGGGCTTTGTCCTTTGTTTGATAAGGTCAGAATATTGAAGAGGCCTCTTAAAGCCTGTCTTGCAAATAGATACTGGGTATTCAATAGCAGAATATTTATCACTTGCAGAAACAGGTATTGCTTCCAAAGTATTGCCCTCTACCTGTTTACTGTCCATAGCTAAATGAATTATTAATTGTAAAGTGACAACACAACATTTTTAAAGCATGTTATTCAGTGATAGAACCAGAAAGCACATTTTAAATTTTAATGAGCATCTATAATAAGAATAGAGTCTATTTTATCTTACCTATATACCAATGGCATCCAACTAAGCAAGTTAGTTGCTTTTAGATTCTGAACATTCTGTCTTGACAATGTCTTGATGCAGGTTTTAGAAATGGCATATAAGGTTTTAAAGAGTTATGTGTTACTGGATACCTTATAAAATATTTCCTAATATATAGACTTAGTTAAGTGAAAAAACTTAACTCTGATCTAGCCATTACTTCTGCAGGAGAATGGAATAGTCTGGCTTGAATTCATTTCCCTCATTAAAAGAGTTGTTAGACTTTAGGGACAGGAGATGAACATTACTATGAAGAGATGAATGTTGAACATCTCAAGTTTATATTTTTCCTACATACAGTTTAATTGTTACTAAAGTAGCAACACATAACATCTGAACTCAGGAAAAGAACAGGAGAAACTAGATCTATAGCGACTACCTAACCCAGGCAGTGTCTGGCTTGGCTTGGAAATTCTAAAAGAACCTGTTCCCAAATGCCCACGAGGATGAGACTGCCCTGGAAGAGGCGTAAAGTACCCCTAAAGCCCAAGCGGTGCCCAATCCGTAAGCGTGCTCCACAGCTGTGTATTGTGCACACTTACAGACTGACAATCTGGAGACCACGGAAGGAGTCAGTAGGGTTGCAGAGGCAGTTTCGTTTTCATGGATTACAAGGAAAACTTTCCTGGAGTCCAAATACCTGTTTTTAAATTACTTTTGCGTGACCTGTCAGTCAGAGGTGTTAACGCTTCCGTGACCACAGCTGAGAGAGACTCCCAAAGGAGGATTCATTGTTTTCAAGTGAAAAGTACATCTTGTCTGCTTGATTAAATCTTGAAATTACCCCTGTTATTTCAGTTGATGATTTATTGTATTTGAACCTGTTACAATTTCTTAGATGAATTCTGTGCCACAAAAGCGGTATTGTATTATGGTAGAGGCTTACAAACAAGTTATGAAAATCATTTGAGGTTGCAAATGAAAGAGATTAGTTGTATTACCTCTTCGCTATGATACCAGAACTGCTGTCAGTCTTGGATTCTCCTCTTTCTGGGAATTCCCTCCTCTTGAATATTTCAACTACTGTTGAGAATATTGCTATTACTTACCAATTCGAGAGTCTGCCTTACAACCAGAAGGTGACCCTATTTGAGGGAACTGTGAGTTCCTACCTGTCCATACTGGCTTCCAAGTTCTTTGGCACGTGAACTTCTCATTTATCTTTCCTTTTATTTTTTCACATGCTGATAACACATAAGTAAAGACACTGAATTGCAAGGAATTTTCTGCCTTTATGTAACTCCGTGGAGCATCTTGTGTTGTAGCCGCTTAACATATAACCCCACTTTAATGGAGGTAAAACCCCCAATCTGTTATGTGATAATTTAATATGCAGTAAAATAAAATTATCTTTGGGATTTTGGTGCATTGGCCTGCTTTTAATTGGTGCGGAACGACTTCAGTTGGTTTCAGCGGGATTTGGAGGTGCTCAGCACTTCAGAAAATCAGGGCACATATATTTGGGTGCCTAAACACGAATTCTGAGCCTCCTCGTAGACACAGCAAGTAGGTGTGGATTTTGATATGCCTCCACAACCAGTGATTATAGCCATGATTATGATGAGGGCTTAGTATATACGCACAAGATGTCAAATGGAAATTATTCAGAAAAAGCTAAAGCTGTCTAATGAAATACAGACTTAATCCTAGTTCAAGTGCAGTTTAGCAGCAGCGCGTGCGTGTTTTGTGAGACGAGGTTCATTTTATGTAAAAGTGCTGCCGGGTCTCAGCATCCTGATCTGTATTTGACATTTGCACATGGAATGTGCAGTCTACAAATTTCTTAAGCTTGCTGGGGTAATCTTTCCAAAGATAAATAACTATGCTGTGAAAAGGGGGAATTAGACCAGTTCTATGACCGTTCGTGAAATTTTCCTGGTAGAACATGGAGCAGTGAACGAAAGCCAAATTGCTTGCTTTAAGGCCCACGTTCAATCCTAATTAAATCGTCAGTGAAAATTAGCACAGCTAGAAGCAGGCACTCATTATGCCTGACCTGATACTGTTAAAGTTTACACCTGTCGGCAACTACTGCATTTATAATGCAAAAGGTTTTTAAA